TCAACCAAGAGAAACTGGAATTAAAAGTATGAATTTTATTGGTTTTTTTTATCTTCTTCTGCTCTTCTTTCTCTACATCCAAACTTAAGATTTGACCGGAGTACACAATTGACTAAAGAGTGAGCCTAGTCAGACATGACTGGTAAATGACTTTGAAATTCTTGGGGTTCTGTAAAGCCTGTGTCGATTTCAAGTCATTTTCAGAGATTTTTTTGGTTAAAAATTTACTTCATTGTGCACTGCATAATATTGCATCGTAAATTGATGAAAAACATGCACTTCATATGCATTTTTAGGGAAGAAATTTTCAAGGATTCAGTAAAAGTGATGTGAAAGTTATAATCAATGGTAAACTGTGTAATGTGACAGATATTAAAACAAACAGTCTGGTATGTTCTCCCGGAAATAAACCAAAACAGGTAGACCCAGACAACCAGGATAAACTTAAAGTTCAGGTAAGTCTAAACTATCAACTCAAATTTAAATCCAGCTGATGGAAAAGTATCAGTATTTTGCATGGATGGTAATTTCAGATTCTGATACGATTTTAAAGGATAACTTAGATTCTCCAGAATCCTGTCTACCAGCTGTATATCAGATTTTACAAGGATAACAACTTCAGTTCTTGATGAGGATCCTGTCAACCAGCTGTATATGCTTTTAAAAGGATAACAACTTCAGTTCTTGATGAGTATCCTGCCTACCAGCTGGTTTTGCCTTTAAAAGGAAAACAACTTCAGTTCTTGATGAGGATCCTGACTACCAGCTGTATATGATTTTACAAGGATAACAACTTCAGTTCTTGATGAGTATCCTGTCTACCAGCTGTATATGATTTTACAAGGATAACAATCTTGATGAGGATCCTGTCTACCAGCTGGTTATGCTTTTAAAAGGATAACAACTTAAGTTCTTAATGAGTATCCTGTCTACCAGCTGTATATGATTTTACAAGGATAACAACTTCAGTTCTTGATGAGGATCCTGTCTACCAGCTGGTTATGCTTTTAAAAGGATAACAACTTAAGTTCTTAATGAGTATCCTGTCTACCAGATGGTTTTGCTTTTAAAATGATAATAACTTCAGTTCTTGATGAGTATCCTGTCTACCAGATGGTTTTGCTTTTAAAATGATAATAACTTCAGTTCTTGATGAGTATCCTGTCTACCAGCTGGTTATGCTTTTAAAAGGATAACAACTTCAGTTGTTGATGAGGATCCTGTCTACCAGCTGGTTTTGCTTTTAAAAGGATAACAACTTCAGTTCTTGATGAGGATCCTGTCTACCAGCTGTATAAGATTTGACAAGGATAACAACTTCAGTTCTTGATGAGGATCCTGACTACCAGCAGGTTATGCTCTTAAAAGGATAACAACTTCAGTTCTTGATGAGGATCCTGTCTACCAGCTGGTTATACTTTTAAAAGGATAACAACTTCAGTTCTTGATGAGGATCCTGTCTACCAGCTGTATAAGCTTTGAAAGGATAACAACTTCAGTTGTTGATGAGGATCCTGTCTACCAGCTGGTTATGCTTTTAAAGGGATAATAACTTCAGTTCTTGATGAGTATCCTTTCTACCAGATGGTTATGTTTTTAAAAGAATAAGAATTGAGTTCTCTAGGATCTGCCAGATGGTATTTTTTTTTAATTGCTGTTGGATATACAAATGTGGCTCTGCCCGACCATCTTAAAATCCTAATATTTTTCACTATTTGTAGGTAACCGTTGGTAATTTGGTGTTTGATATAGGATTTTTAGTGTACACCATGACGAGCGACGCTGGTTCCACAATGATTATAGTACTCGGCCTTATTATTGCGTTGGTCGTCATAGCAGTCATTATTATCCTTCTGATCATGAAGAAGAAGCGATTGGGGTTTTTCAAGCCGAGGTTAGACGATCGAAGTATACGTTACACACAAGGTGATCAAATTGGTATCGAAGGTTTCGCTCCGGCAGAAGGCATTACATATAATTTGGAAAATCGGCAAAATAGTAAGTGCTGTTATATTTCTTGATTTTATGTATTAGGTTCTTAACACAAGGGTTGTTTGGGATTCGTCTTATGACAATGATGCTTTGGGATTCCCCATGATCCAATCTACCAGTTGGTCCTTGTTCAAATGTTGGCAGTGCTTTGTGATGATTCTTAGTTGTTGAGATGGGACAATAAACAGAGGCCCTGTGTGCTACAGGCTGTAAGATCCCTCGACAGTTGGAAATTGTACATTTTTTAATTTTTAATCTCAGACTATACAGAGCGAGGTGCTATGGAACAAATTTCAGCCACTGATCTCATAGATGATGATCTACTAGCTTTGATAACCAACGAAAACTTACTGATCGGGAGTGAGCACTTGATGAAAACTGATATTCTTGGACAAGGTATTGTGTTATTTTACTATAAATGAGAGTAAACCAGCAGGTGATCCACATAGCTAATAACATTTATTTGATATTTAGGTTTGTCTGCTCAGTATTTTTTTGGAGAGTCCACATGCTATGTCATAGCCAATGTTTACTGGTCTTTGTCAAATTGGCGTTCTCTTTGAAGAATCCACATTTGATATTTAGGTTAATCAACTCAATCCCTATTTCAGAGAGTCCACGTAGCTGGTAATTTTTAATTAGTATTCAGGTTTGTCAACTTGACTTTCCTTTAGAGAGTCCACATGGTAAATATTTTGTATATTTCCAGGTAATTTCGGCTGTGTGTATAAAGGATTTCTTACGACACCAGATGAAAAGGGAGATAAGCTTGTTGCCGTTAAAACATTACATCGTAAGTTTACTTTCTCTAAACACTACAGACTTGGGATTCAGCTCGCTGTTCCATTCCTCTGTTTTGATGGTCTTATAGATTTCATCTTATGAATATATGTTTGAGTTGAGGTTCTATTACACTTTCTGAGAACACCATGAATTGGTAAAACTTTCCTCTAAATGCACTAAACACCCACTGACCCCACCCCTCATCTTTCCTTTCCATTGATGACAGTTTTTTTTTTACATGTTCTTTATTTTGAAAAATTTCGATTTTTTTTTTTAGAGAGCAATCCAAGAGAGATAGAATTAAATGCTTTTCTACAAGAGGCTTTAATAATGAAAGATTTTCACCACGATAATGTACTGGAGTTGATTGGAATATGTTTAGGCTTGGACGCCATGCCTCTTGTAGTCTTGCCTTTCATGGTACACGGTGATCTACTGAGTTATATCCGAGATGAAAATAACGTAAGATTTTTTCTTGTCAAGATATCACAGACCTTACTTTGTCGAAAGAAATAAGATGAAAAAAACTCCATTTCATTTCATTTCATTAGTCATATAAGATACAGAACAGTAGGATATACAACTCCATTTCATTTCATTAGTCCAATAAGATATAGAACAGTAGGAATATAAAACTCTATTTCTTTTCATTAGTCCAATAAGATACAGAACATTAGAATATAAAACTCTATTTCATTTCATTTTCTTCCATAAACCATTGCATGGTAACAATTTAACATAATTACTATAATAATAACATGAATTAATTTGGTTGCATCCCTGTATCAATAATCTGGCCTGTGTTGGGTGTTATAGAAGATACTCTCCTATAGAAGCACTGGCCATGGTCACAAGTAATTTTGACCTATTTGTTTTTCAAGTAATAACCAAGACTGCAATTTGTTTGTGTTTATTTTGCAAATTAATTTGCTTTATTTAACCCAAATTTTGCGTTTGTTTGTTTGTGTTAGTTGAATAATTACATTTTTATTTATGTTTTTAGTTGATTAACACATAAACAAGAGCTTCCAATTTATTATTAGGTAGGGTAGTGTAAGTAGTAATGTACTCAATATGAGTCTGGCTTATACAGTTCAACTACTGTTTATTCTACCTAAAAAATATAATAGACTATTCCTATTTATGTTTTGAATGTTCACTGCCTGAAATGTGTACATTCAGTGTGGCTAGCCCTGTTCAGGTAAAACAGTGCGCATTATATTCACAAATGTATGGTAAACGGATGATACAATATCTTTACTTATAAAGAGGTTTTCTAAAAAGAAAATTGTGATAAAGCATATTTTGCGATTAGTGATGTCATTAAACATTTAGGGCTGTATGCAGCGCTCTTACCTTGACTAAAATTGAACTTTGGCTATAGTCGAACTTTAGTTAAGATTAAGGCTTTCATTTTCTACATTTGATAGTCAAATTTAAGCACGACTTTCGTAAAGATCGACTGGTGCATACCTAAGTCTAACTTTAGTCAAAGTTCAGGTAAAGTACAAGCGCCCTTAGTTTTAGTGGAATTACAGGAACCACAGACATCTTATGGAAAATTGGAATAATCAAATTGATGCTATCAGTGTCACCGATACACATAAAAATTTAGAAAATTTCTTTAGAATCCGTTTAACCTCTCTAATGCTTGTCAAGACTTCTCACCATTTTTCAATTAATTTTTTCAGAATCCTACCATTAAAGACCTTATTTTGTTTGGAATTGACATTGCAAAAGGGATGGCGTACTTAGCAGAACTGAAATTTGTCCATCGAGATCTGGCCGCCAGGAATTGCATGTAAGGGTTAACCAACCATATCACATTTAATCTTAACCCCCCCTGGCCCTGGCGCCTCCAAGCCACAGCTACACTCCCACCACATTTTTTACCAAATCCCATTTTGACAATCATTTTCATATAAATTGAAATATCATCTCTGAAATAATATTTAAGTATTTGTGGAAATATTATATATATTTGGATATGTAGGTCATTTTTTGTTGTTTTTTTTTTATTAGATATAATGTCCGTTCATTTTTTAAAATTTTTATTTTTTGCTTTGAATTGGTTTGAATTAATGCTTTTACTAATACTTAACTATCATGTCCAACTAGCTAGCAGATTGCTTGGTACAATGATAGTTTTCTGTGGTCAGAATGAAACTAGAGAATACCCAACTATCATGTCCAACTAGCTAGCAGATTGCTTGGTACAATGACAGTTTTCTGTGGTCAGAATGAAACTAGATAATACCCAACTATAATGTCCAACTAGCTAGCAGATTGCTTGGTACAATGATAGTTTTCTGTGGTCAGAATGAGACTAGATAATACCCAACTATCATGTCCAACTAGCTAGCAGATTGCTTGGTACAATGACAGTTTTCTGTGGTCAGAATGAGACTAGATAATACCCATCTATCATGTCCAACTAGCTAGCAGATTGCTTGGTACGATGATAGTTTTCTGTGGTCAGAATGAGACTAGATAATACCCAACTATCATGTCCAACTAGCTAGCAGATTGCTTGGTACAATGACAGTTTTCTGTGGTCAGAATGAGACTAGATAATACCCAACTATCATGTCTAACTAGCTAGCAGATTGCTTGGTACAATGATAGTTTTCTATGGTCAGAATGAGACTAGATAATACCCAACTATCATGTCCAACTAGCTAGCAGATTGCTTGGTACAATGACAGTTTTCTGTGGTCTGCAATGTTTGTTTAGCCATTTTTTATATTAATATATTCCCAATTCTGCAGGTTGGACGAAGCTTTCCGAGTAAAGGTGGCTGATTTCGGACTAGCAAGAGATATTTATGAGAAGGATTATTATAGTTCAGATAATAAGAAGAGTAAACTGCCTGTAAAATGGATGGCCATGGAAAGTTTGGAGAAGGGAACCTACAGTTCTAAATCAGATGTGGTTGGTATTTTATTTGATTTTTGGGATTGGGTTGGGGGGTATAGATTGTGAATTGGGATTTAAACAGATTCCTTTTTTGTGGAAGGGGGAGTATGAATTCCCCACAAGTAACTGAAATTCCCCTCTCAAGTAATTGAAATTCTCTTCCCAAGTAATTGAACTTCTCCTCCAAAATAATTGAAATCCTCTCCTAAGTAACTGAAATTCTCCTCGCAAGTAACTGAATTCCCTAACTGAAATTCTCCTCCAAAGTAATTGAAATTCCCCTCCCAAGTAATTGAAATCCCATTGAAATTCCCCTCCCAAGTAATTGAATTTCCCTCCCAAGTAATTTGATTTCCTGTCTTGCAGTGGTCGTTTGGAGTGGTATTATGGGAGTTGATGACGCGAGGTGTTCAGCCCTACCCCGAGGTTGATAACTGGGACGTAATACGTTATTTAAAAGCTGGAAGAAGAATGGCTCAACCTCAATACTGTCCTGATCCATTGTGAGTATTTACTGAAATTATTTGTAGTCTAGGTCAGAGAGTCTTGCTGTAGAGAGCGAAAAGACTGAGGGTATACATAGGGGAAGACTAACTTAATGGGGGACAACTGTCATTATTGTATTTCAAATGCGACATCTCTGTGGAAGCGCATCTGAAAGGGTTTTCCACATGTAATTTTTTGAAAAATAAAATTGATTTGATGCCTTTGACACATATTTTGGGGAAAAACGTATAAAAATATGTCTTAATTTGTTAGATGTAGGCCATTTTTCTGGGCCCCCACCCTCCGTGTACCCCCACTGGCTCCGCCACTGTTATCCAGTTACTGTGATTATTTTAATTATTCAAACTATTTTTCTAAGCCATGCCCCTTCCCTCCCCTTCCCTCTGTGTACGGCGCCACTGTAATCCAGTTACTGTTATTACTTTAATTATTTGATCTATTTTTTTCACAGATATGAAGTAATGCAAGAATGTTGGCAGCAGACGCCGTCAGAACGTCCAGCCTTTAGTGACCTGGTTATGGAGATTGTTAACATTATAAAGAAATTAGAACATAGGACTGGGCCGTTACGAAGAAATATTGAAGTTACATACGTTAATGTGAATAACAGTTCGGAATGTTATTATAAAGATACAGATAAATTTCTACAGAAACATTCTAACGGTGCTACTACTAATGGTGCTACTTCTTCTACTGCCACTTCTTCTGAGGTTTAAATTTGCTCATGTTTTCTACTGCAATATTGCCCATCTTTCTGTTCATTTTTCTACATCCACTGCAATATTGCCCATTTTTCTGTACATTTTTCTACATCCACTGCAATATTGCCCATTTTTCTGTGCATTTTTCTACATTTCCACTGCAATATTGCCCATTTTTCTGTACATTTTTCTACATCCACTGCAATATTGCCCATTTTTCTGTGCATTTTTCTACATTCGCTGCAATATTGCCCATCTTATTGCCCATTTTTCTACATATTCTGTTCATTTTTCTATATTCACTGCAATATTGCTCATTTTCTACATACACTAACTGCAAAATTCTACTAGTGCTACATGGTTGGAAAACTCTTCTGTAAGATTGCCCATTTATCTACATTATCTACATTTTCACTGCAAAATTGTTAAAGAACAATTTTGCAGTGAAAATGTAGATAATGTAGATAAATGGGCAATCTTACAGAAAATGAGCAATATTGCAGTGAATATAGAAAAATGAACAGAAAATATCTACATTTTCACTGCAAAATTGTTCATTGTCTACGGTGGTTACTAAAGTTTGCTCATAATATTATATATTTCTTAGTTATTTTTAGATTATCTAAGTATGCAAACTTCTGTCTTTCATAGCTTCAAAAATTCATATTTTTCATATATACCGGTAGATATATTTATATATTTCTTTAGTTGTATAATTCCTTGTTTATCATGAATTCATTTTATATGATTAGGTCCCTTTAATTACTTTTAGAATATGTATTATGTTTGTGTCTTTAGAGTATGTATTAAAGTGATATAGGCATCTAAAAATTAGCTTCTCCAGCTGATAGAGCTCAATTACAGCTATCAATATCACTTTACAGAAGAAAAATTGACATGTGGTATATTTTAAAAATGAGCAGTTGCATTTTTTTAGATTTTTAAATTATTGAGTAATACAGATGGCTGTAATCAAGCTCTGTCTGCTGGCAAAGTAGAAATTTTTGAACAGATGATTTCTCTTTAGTAAAGCGAGATAGCTGGTGCCTCGAAAAGAATTAGTATTAGTTAGTCATCATGGAAATGCCATGTCTTGCTGATTACACGTCACTTGGATTGGATTGGATTATGAGTGAGGACATTGAATTTTGATTGGACATTTTGAGGATATTTCAACCAAATATATGTCTTCCTCACCAACAATTAAGTGATGGCATCCAAGGGGTGCGCTCGATGAGAGAGTTCTGCACGTTCTGGATTCACAGAATCAACAGAAAGTTACGGCCAGAATTGGAACAAGCAGAACCTGTTCAGAACCTGCCAATAGAGCGCTACCGAAAGTGACATGTTACAAACAGGCCGTGGCATTTTGATGATGTTAGAAATATAGTATTTTATAGTTTTTTTTAGTGAATCTCAGTAAAAGAATTCCATTATTCCTTGCGTTCCGATTTCACTGTAGTTTTTAGTAAACTGTGGTTTGATGGGTGTATTCAGGCCACGCATTCTCGAAACAATCTTCAGGATGTCATAGGGTCTTAACTTTTAACAATGTTTCTAGGATATTTTCGCGCGAAGATCATATCAACAATACTAGCCAGGACTTATTAGAGAAATCCAGTTTGGATGTAAATAGTATGGCACCCTTCATCCGTAAATGGACTACCCCACTCATCTGCCTTAAATGGTAATATGATGCAGTGTTATTGTTTTTTGGAAGAGTTTATTTGCAAATCAGGGTGTTTTGTCTCATTTGAGATCATTATGGATGTAAATAATGTGCCAATCATCTACTTGACATCCCTCAACCTGTAATGGACTCTCTCACACTTGTGCCTTTTCAATCATTACTAAATGGTCCAATGGTTATGACACCCCTCAACCTTAAATGGGATATTCTGCACATGTGCCTTAAATGTCAATATAATTCAGCCTTACGGTTTTTTGGAAGAATTCATTGGTGTAATCAGGGTGATCTTATTTTTGTTGGCACCTAAATTATTTTCAACCCTGTATTATGGATGTAAATTTAATTTTTTTTTTAAAAGGCTGCATTTACCAGTCAAGTCTGCTTGAAGTTTTGGCCATTCTCTGTTTTGAGAAATTTTTTCTTGGCCATTTTTTTTGACTAGTTCATATGTTTTAGATTTATTGTTAAATATATAATTGTTGAATAATCAGCTTCACCCAAAAAAACTGAAACATTTCCAATTGTTATGACAACCTCACTGCAAACTTCACATTTTTAAGGCCACAGTAAATTGTTTTTTAGTTCTTTGCTTTTTTTCATTCGCCCGTTTTGAAATGAAATGGAGTTTCATTAGTCCAATAAGATACTGAACAGTAGGATATAAAACTTCATTTCATTTCATTAGTTCAATAAGATATAGAACAGTAGGATATAAAACTATGTTTCATTTCATTAGTTCATTAAGATACAGAACAGTAGGATATATAACTCTGTTTCATTTCATTAGTCCAATAAGATACAGAACATTAGGATATAAAACTTCATTTCATTTCATTAGTTCAATAAGATATAGAACAGTAGGATATAAAACTATGTTTCATTTCATTAGTTCATTAAGATACAGAACAGTAGGATATATAACTCTGTTTCATTTCATTAGTCCAATAAGATACAGAACATTAGGATATAAAACTTCATTTCATTTCATTAGTTCAATAAGATACAGAACAGTAGGATATAAAACTCTATTTTATTAGTCCAATAAGATATGGAACAGTAGGATATTAAACTTCATTTCATTTCATTAAGGTATAGAACAGTAGGATGATAAAAGAAACAAAGAACTAAATTAAAGTGGTCTAACATTGTTAACAATTTTTTAAAATATTATGTTAAATATCTATGTTATAAAATTATGTTAATCTGACATTGATGGCTTTATGCTTTGTTCACATTTTTTTTAACTTTAGAATGATTTGGACTTGAAATAATTTTTTTTTCAACTCTAGCTAGACGATAATTAAGTATATTTTTCGATTATCAAATTCCTTTTTTTTTCAATTTTTGTCTATGTATTATTATTCATATATTTTTCCCTGATTTTTTTTCAAAATATTTATTAATTTATGTTTATTTTATGATTATACCTACTCTGCGTTCAGTCGTCTTCTTTGAGGTAACATTTTTCACAAGCTTTTGTTGGGCCTTGAGAAAATTTAACATAAAATACTTGGTAAAGTTTTGATAACTGAACGTAGAGTTATTATCCATGGCACTAACAAATCGAAATCTTATTGTGTAACTTTCAACATTTAATGGCTTGTAATGAAATCCAGGGATGTTGAGTCGCATGCTTTTGACGGACATGTTAAATTTTTCTTCAGCCTTGTTTCACACTTTCTTTTTTTAGTATTTTAACTATTTGAACACTAAGTGTGAATATAATAAAACGTCATATACCAATTACTCCAAGTAATATTTTATAATTTAAAGCGAATGACGTTAACATTATGTGTCGTCACTTTGAAACCGCCGCTTTACCAGATGGTCGGGTATAGATCATTTGGTCGATAATATTGAAAGGGTTAAATTATTTTAAAGTATATTTCACTTGTGTGAATCAAGTTATTCTTGAAACGATCTTTCCCAGTTACTTGCGCATCTTTGCTACGATAAATTAAATTTATTTTCATTCGTATTTAATCTGTTTATTCAAATCTGTTTTTGTCTGTTAATATCCAGAGTTTATTGTTTTCATTTTGTAATAAAAGAAATAAGTATTAACTTAATCAGAGCTAGTTATATTTTGAGGCCACAATGTATAGAAAAGAAAAAAAACCCAAAAAACCTAACAACTTAGATTCACAGTAAAGGATCCTGTCTACCAGCTGGCCCTTCGCCAAACCTCTTGTTATTGATCTTTCTCGGATTATCCGTACCCATTTACAGCTTATTCGAGGTCATCGGACTTTCACACGCCGATCGAGATCGGAACCCAAAGCCACCATAGAATTATAACTTCACAATGCAGCCATGGAACCATATATGCCTGAGGTCGAGAGAAACACATCGAAACGTTGCATAAAACTTTAATAAGTTATTACTGCAAGCCTACGGTGAATTAAGTGTCAAGTCTGTTATTTGACATCCTTTACACCATATCACACCCTCCTCCCACAATTTTTTTTTTAAAAGTAGGACTAGATATTACAAGCTGCCCGGATAATAAGTTTCAGTTCATTTTAGCATTGTATTAGAAGCAAAATAGTTATATACGGCCATATACTTAAGTAGGCTATAATACGTTATAGATTATAAATTATATATAGAATGACCATTTCCGTTCTCGCTAACAATCCTACATATTGCCCTAGAAGAAATATATGATATGAACTTATATACTACCGGGTATATTATTGTGATATTGCCTTAAGGATAGTATAACGGCCCGCCTTACTTGTTTGTTAACGTACGAGCTATTTAAGATCAATAACCGGGTTGGCCTGGCCTGCTATTTTTGGCTTTCACGAAGGACATAGCACACCCTACACATGTAAACAAAGAGGTTAATACATTCGGCTGATAGAGGGTTAACTTGTGTATAGGATTAGCGTATGGTTATAAATAGACGTCTTCTTGTGAAACCAAACACATGGTTTTTTTTAATACGCAATGTTACGATTAGGCTAGAAATGAAATAGATTTGTTCATATTGTGTCTTTGTTCGTTATAGTCAGATTGTGTATCATCTCTAAGGTCATATCAATACGAAGAACAAAATGGAGACACCGTTACGTCTGTTGTTGTTATCGTTACTGTTAGTTCTTGTGTGTTCTACGTCTAACGTTGTGTCGGAATCGACGGACGAACTGGTCGCTCGACTGCTGGCAAAAGTTGAAGACTCACAAGTGACAAAAGCCAAGAAGTTTTTCCCTGTTTTAGAATGGCAAGAAGACTTGGGAGTTTACAAAAGCGAAGTGAAACTGTATTTTCATGGACCGGAAGATTTAGCTTTGATTCGTGACAAGTTTCATGTATTTGACAATAACATGTTCGTAACTTCGTGGGTATCGTCGTGCTTGCTCGAAGCCTATCGTTACGGCGGTGCCCCGAAACCGTCGCCAACACATCTAAAACTAGCTTTAGACTCCATTAACGGATATCGAAATAAGGATAGAAAGTTTGAAAATTCTATTATGTCTTTTTGGCCACAGGCTTACAACTCGACGAGTAATACATACATCAGTACACCAGTAAACCTGCTCAAACTCATAGACCTGACGAACGATGTTCCGTTCGGGGTCATCGAGAATATTTTGAAATTTTTAGGGTTCGGCGATATCAGTTCAATAATCAAGACACTTTTATCTATGAAGTAAGTAAGCTAAAAAAAATAAGTCATATTTTTGCCGTGTCATTGCCCGACTCACTGGGCACTGCGTAAAAAACTATTCCAATACCAAAAGTGCATGGAGACCTATGTATAATGAATAATAGTGGGAAAGAGAGAGAGAGAGAGAGAGAGAGAGAGAGAGGGGGGGGGGGGCGTTTCATTAAAGGTCTAAAGGGGGGAATTGGCGCACAAGGAATTTTAAAGTGCGGAGGGTATCGTATCAGCCTCGGTATGTTGAAATCTACCCCCACCCCCTTCTTTCCAGTCCATCCATTTGCTTCCTGTGCATAGACCCACACGGGGTGTAGACTTAATTGTTTATCGATACAGAAGGTATTATTATAGAAATCTTCATTTGAGACGACGGGACGTAGTTGTAGGGGGTAACTTGACCCATAAGACCCATTTGATATCAGTACAAAATACAAGGCTATTAAATAAGGTCTTTACTATTATGAATACTTAGCAAAGCGGTTTAAGTTAGACCACTCCCACTTTTCTCTCTATTTTTTTTTAAACCTCCTCTCTCTTCCTCTCAGTGTGGGATTGCATACCCGCGTTATGGACGCTCTTGTAGAAAGCCTCACGTCTTTAAAGCAGTCAAAAGCGTTCAATATGCCTGGAGCACATCGTCGAAATTACACTTTAAGTCCTAAATGCATGGAACTCACTACTAATAAGATTATTTTCTTTTATTCAGGGATACCTTCAGAACGGCCTTCCACATTCCACCAGATTTTGACGATACATTCGTTAACCTCGGTCTAGGATCGCTGTTAACGAGTCTAAAGACACAATTTCCAGAACAGCACTCTAGCTGGATGACATCCAACACCAACCTGACCTCAGTGTTCGATGCATTGAAGAAATATGCCTACAGGCCCTTCTCCAAAGACTCAAATGTGAACACTATAGATCCCAGGACTTACTTTTATTTGAGAAAATTCATGGAGAAAAGTTCCTCTGATGGATGGGATTTGGCATTGACACCAACATGGGTAGGTAATCCTGGAACGTAATCTTTTAAACGCCACCCACCCTCCCTCAGACTTAGATGAAACTAAAGGGGGCCTCTCCCCAAAGCTATTACAAGTTGCATATATGGTACGAATAATGATAGTGGCTATGGGTTCCGAACGTAACTTACAACTCTGAATGAGAGTTGCGTTCGAAACTTATGACCGTTATTTTAATTCCCAAACATACGCAACTGGTGGTCGCTATGACGTGATGGTCTCTTTAAGCTTATTACAAGGCAGGACTTCTTTATTCTATGTGAGTTATAGCCAGTGGTTGATCGTTGAACCAAGTCCATACCCCCACCCCCAGAAGAAGTCCACTGGCCCCCACAAATCTAGTTTAGCGACGGATTACAAACCATTGTATTTTAGATCCAAGATATTGAAGAGACCACTAAACTACGAAAAAAAGGTATATCCATGCCGTTTAACATCAACAACGTAGACGTAACCGTATCAGCTAACGTCATCTACGGCATAACGTCTTCAGTCTTATCTGGAGTTGTGTCCCCTTCTATCCTCAACGATACGGGAATTCAAGTGAGTACTTAAATAGAGTAGAATGACACAAAAGCAGCCTTCACGAGACTAAAGGTACAATTAGGGGACTGACTGAATGGGGGCAACTGTCGGAGTTGAGATACCAAATGCGGCGGCACTGTGGAAGCGCATAAACACAAATCTTCCACTGAACGCCGAGGGTCTTTCCAATAAAATTTGTAAAAAATATACCGTACCGTAGGCCTATGCAAAAGAAATATTTTTTTAATTTGTTAGAAAAAAAGGTGAGGGGGTTGGAAACTATTTTGCTAGGGGGCAAGGCAAATTCACCCTCTGTACCCCTACTCACCCCAATATTTCGTCTGCAAGAAAATGATCTCTGTATGTGATTTTCCATTTCAGCAAATCTTACTCAATACCACCAATATGATAGCTCACGAATGTCAAAATGATTTAAGCGACAGGCGAGATTTAGCCTTAACTTATTATCCTTCTGTCCTGGAATTCTACTGGTTTGTCGCCAGAACCGTCTTTATTCTCAATGAAAATGCTAAACATAATCAGCTACCCCATGAGGTAAGGCAAAATTCTTCCCACCCTAGGGCCGGGACGTATTATAGTAAGATGAACAGTAGACAAGTTCTCCGTCTAATATCCCAAAATTCCGTCTTTGGTACCTGGAAAAACTGTTGGGAAACTCCACTAAGTTTCCACCGTTTCCATTGTGTATTGATTTGAGACGACACTTATTGCCCCGAAACGCCCAAACCTCTCATTTCCTTGTAAATTTTTCAGGCCCTGTACAAAGTACTTCATAAACTGGAGCCTGTTTTAGAAAAACACGTCACATCTGTCATATTAAAAGGCGCGAAATCTGACGGCGCTGATAGACTATATTTAGAAGATTTTCTAGGAAACGGTGACTTTGATAAAAACAACCATACCTTGGTATGTATAGCATGTTAAACAAGTGTGAGCTATTGACTCGTTGGTAGGAAATTCTTGATAAAGCAAACTGATATTTTCGTTACTATAGCTCCCTAAGTCTCTAAATTTAAGGACTATATTCAGTTCGGAATATTACTACCACTTGACAAATCACTGTTAAATACCGGAAGTAAAGAGTCTCGACCAAGAAGACACAACGGAATTCTTCATTCCTTACCGAGTCGGATTCAGCTTTACGGAAACTGCCGATGATTGCCAAATGCCTAAGTTTCTTGTTAATATTTAGATGTTACTATACAGACATATATTTGATATTTCAGATTAAAGGCGAAGACAGAATATTTACTACTTCAATGGGCGTGAACGCTCTGATAGCTACCTGGTCTATTTTTGATGGTAAAACATCCAAATTATACTGGAAAAGTGGTGAGTTTACAAGAAGCTATTGCTATTCATCGTCGACATCTCCCGACCTTGGCATTACATGTCACTCAGCCGTGGATGCATTGGTGAGAAAGTTGAAGTGGATTCTTAAGAAGCCGTAAAAATATTTTGAAACTGGTCGCAATTGGACTGAACGTAATTTAATTAATAATTTCGTCAGATCACGGATAGTGAAAGTAGTCAGGCAAAACACACAGCTAAACAGGGGATAGGGTGAGGCATCGCCGACCCCTAACACTACTCTATCTGTTGCTCTGTGACCTAGGCCAGTGCTTTTATTTAGATTCGACTCAACACACCCTAACACTACTCTGTAACCAAGATATTCAACTCGTATGTATTTTATTTTCCGACAAAACCATGAGCGTAAAACTCGGTTCCGTTTCATTTCAGATACACCTACCGATGTAAAATCGTCAGTAACTAAATTTATCGATTGGTTAAAAAAATATACATTAAGTGGAGATTTTAAACCTTATAATACCTTCTTCTCCGGGTCAGCTAAAGGAGAAGGGGTAAGTTTGTATTTGAGGATTTTTCATCAAAGTATTTCACTGCAAGTCTGGACATAGCAAGGCGCTGAATATCTGCTGGCTGCAGTGGCTCAGTAAGTTAAACACTTGCTCGCTAACAGTATTCAATCCGGTATAGGTTGTGATAATACAGGTTTTCCGCTGTCTGTGATGAAAGTTGGAGGGGTTGACATCGATAAAGTGCGTCTAGTAGCTCAGATTGGACAATAAACTGAGGCCCCGTGTGCTACAGGCAAATACCCCTTCACAATTGGAAATCGGAAAAGAGTAAGCTTATGCCATTGTTTCTTGAGTCCACTACTATACCATTATTGCTCCTGATTTTTCCATTCTTTGGACGAGATTGTTGGTTATAGGAATTGTTTGCTTATACAGATTTTTTTTTTATATTTACAGACGCTGCCGTTCTACTACCCAATCAATAGATTGGAATACCTGAACGGGACCAATATTCCCGATGAGACCCATTTTCCCACTGGTGGACCCTTCACCCTTGGGGTACAGGGAACCATCCCCAAAGCTCAATATGACAAGATGCTCACAGAAAAACATTTTGGGGTACCCACTCCGACCACGTTTAAAGGTTTCAACAGCGGCAGTACGCAGGACTTTTTCCCGTTTTGGTCGTCCGAGCCCTATACCTACGCAACCACTATGTTGGCCCTTGCTCAATCTAATAATTTTGCAAATTAAGCCTTTATTAATATGCTGTCTCAATATGTGCCTTCAAATTTTTAAATGAAAAATACCCCACCCCACCCCACCCAAAATGTGATAATCAAGAATTGTAAAGCAATATATGATCCCCCACGACGTCTCAGGAACCCCCTCCTCCGCTCATTGCACAAAATCACTGTTCTTTTGATTGGGTTGTTGTGTAAATAGACACACCTTCTCACGACCTAACAAACTACATCTTCACAATGTCAAGCTATTATGAACTGTGTCTAATACCTTGACTTCATTGAGCTCTTTTTCTCATTTAATGAGGTTGTCTGCCAGCGAATATAGCCAATCAGAGCCCCCGACAGAAAGGTTACAAACATTATGGCCCATCGTTTATAGCCTGTCTGTCGAGGGCTCTGGTTGGCTGTATTCTCTAGCACACAATCCAATTAAATAGCTCCATTTACAAATCTCCATGATACAAGAGAGGTGGTTATTGCAGTCAAGGTATTAGACGCCATTCATTAGAGCTTGACATTCTGAAGATGAACAAACAACGACCAATCTCTCCACGGATCATCGACAAAAATTTGTAAATGAATCAACATTCTATCCGATTTTATCTGTTTATTGTTTTGTTGTTGTTTTAAATAAACTATGTTGTTATTTATTTCTTTTTTGGCTTTCATGTGAAACTAATACCCTTAATAGGCCTTAAGAGGTAGGATGAGG